TATTTTCTAACTTTAGGACATTTTCACGCCAGCATTAATATCAAAACACATTCTTATTTTATATCTTTATTCTTATCTAGCACTTTTTGAGGTCTTCTTAAAAATGATTCTTTTGGGAATACTTGTTTTCCCTATTGTAACTGTTTTAGGCTCTAAAAAGACAAAGCTTGGTAAACATAGTGTGGGATAATCTCAGATGAAAGGTTACCAATTTGTCAATGGACTAATCAGTCCATAAGCCTAAAACATCAACTGACTTACTGGTCAAAGCAAAACTAGTGCTAATGTGTGGAGTATAAGCAAATCCAGCAGTTCTTAGCTGCAAACCGCGTGTTTCTAAACTCAAGCCATAACTACATAAAAAAAGATACACCATGTTAAGAAATAAAGGAGTAATCAGCCAGATCAATCAACATAGTTTGTGCAGATTCAAATGATAATTTAATAAAGGTTTTATCCTTCAAAATCTTTTGATATTTAAATATTTGATTTAAATATTTGAAGTGATTGTACTTTGTGTATAAAAAAAAAAGTTTAAGACTTTCTATCCTAAAACTTAGGCAACAATAACAAAAAAAAGTTAAATTAAAGATTCCACTGTGTTCTTATTGGATGAGAATCACAAATAAACTTTTTTATGAGGATAACGCTCTGCCTCTTCCTTCATTAAGCAAGTGAATGAACACACCTCCACCTGCCCATCTGCTGAAGCAGCATTTTTCTCTTCTTAATGGGTCACTGTAATTGGCAGCGGCCAGGAAGCAGCGCTGCTCTATGGTGTGTGATTTTTTTCGTACTGGAGTCTTGAGAGTGATGGAGCCTCTGGCAGATGTGGAGTCGGGGATGCTGCTGCTGCTCGTATGGGCCTCTGTTCATCTTTTCTCCGCCTACCGGGTACTCTGCTCCACAGGGACAACGCTGCTGGGACAAATGGCCACCTGGGAGCTGCGAACCCAATGAGGCGCTTTTTTTTCTCTTTCCATTCCTCGGTCAACCACTTTCCCCAATGCCACCAATCCCTCCATCTGGCCTGGCAGTAGAGCAGATCTGCTCGGTAACTTGGGAAGCGAGAAGATTGCATTTTTGCAAACCGTGTTTCACATGACCAGAGCCACAAACCCTACATGCATGCAAACTCATGCCTTTTTATCTCTCCTCGTGACAGTAAAGCCATTAGCGGCCTGGTGGCGGTTCTTTACTTGTCATGTGTTATGAGAGGCCTCGCAGAACTCATGGCCAGTTCGCGAATTTTTCTGCATTACCGAGATGGCTTTGAGAGGGGGGGTAGCAGCTCTCCTAATGAGTTTCTTCCATCTAACTTTTTTTCCTCCCTGTCACCCTGGATCCATTCGTATTTGGCTGTTATGCAACCAGCTCTCAAGCTGAATAGGGAGGCCATGCAAACGGACAAATGGTTGTTACTCCGATATGAGGAGAGCATTTAAACGTTTGTCTCTTTGCGAGCTTTTGTGGATGATTGATTCTGGTCCTAAGATGTCAGCCTGGCACAACCATTTACCTTCTATAGTCTTACCATGCCCCATCAAGGACTTTCCATCCCATTCTTTTGGCTTAGGCTACCTTTTTTTTTTTGGCAAGTGCTCCAGGGAAATAGGAATGTGGTGTGCACATAATAACAGTCACAATGATACAGATGATGATTAATAAATCCTTAGGTTTTTCTCTCCTCCTCACCAATCACAGCCCTCTCTACTTACTAGGACTGTAACAGCCAGACTCTTACCACTCTACTATTCATTGAGAAACCTCTTTGACGAAGCCACTCAAATTAGCCATGGCTGTTTGATGAAAGCCAAACTCCTACTGGACTTGTCGCAGTGCCGAGGCATAAATCATTCCCCGGCACAGGAGCTGTGGCAGACACAGATCCACCGGCTGAGATTTACGCTGCCTCACAATCTGGATCCTCTCCACCAGGTCATCTTCAAATTGGTTATTGATCCACCTATCCCAAAATGAATCATACGATGCCAACACTGTTTAGGGGTCTACGTTTACAGTAGTGTGGCTAATATGCAGCCTGGGGATGGATTACTGTTTTAGAAACCAGGAGAAAACAAGCACCTGGACCAATCAGCGAATCAATTACCTTCAGGTGAATAGATGTCCCGTCGTCATGCAGCAGGAGCTCATTATAACACATCACATAACAGCAAACAACCGGTGAGGGAAAGAGGCTGAAGTTAGCTATATCAATATGGAAATTATGATAGCTGTTATTGTGATTGAATGAAGTACTCATTATTTTATTATGTAAACCTGTCATTTGTTGAATTAATGAAGTTTTTTTTTAAAGCCTAATCACACTTGGTGGCTAAAAACCCACCCTTTCTTTCTCACTCTTCCTTATTCCGTGTTTAGAGTCACTCTGAAGGTGAAATGCACAAGATTTTAATTTTTCCTGTGAAGGATTCTGTCAAAGCTGAATCAGTGCCTTTTTTCTAAATCTAACTTAAATGAGACTGCTTCTGTGGAAGTAGCTCATTTCTGCTGTTGGCACATAATATATTCTGGCATATTATTTAATGGGCTCTCACTTTTCGCCCAATTAGGCTTCAAGATAGTGTGTAAACGTAACTCCTGCCCTCGGAACAGTTTCCTAATAAATGCCAAAGTGGCCATTACGAAAATCACTTTGTGAGTGAAAACAGACAGCTAAGATATAGACTCAGCTTTCCCTGAAAGCTGGTGATTATGGCTGTGATTCTATTTCTCTGTGGTTCCTCTTTAAATGTCAGAATCTGAGACAGTCAACATTTCCTTCATATTGCATTCTGTTGGGAAAATGTCCGTCTCCTCTTCCTTTTCAAAGATATCTGCGTCATTGCTCAGGTTTCTGATTTAGCAGAAATGAGAGATTCGTGTCTAATTACCTGATATGTGGATCAAGTTTTTGTGATCTTGTTGCTTTTAAGGTTTTAACTTCATATGCATGTGTTAAGTTGTAGATGTTCATCCAGAACATGATGATAAATGATTACAGAGCTGATGTGAAAATGGGTTTTGACCAATCGAGAAGGTAACTTCTGATGTGCATTTGTGCTCTTTGCCCATGCTGTGGGTTGTTGTTTTTTTTATCTAGTCTCTGTGATCCCATATTTCTCTTGTCCTCTGACAAGCTGATGAAAAGTGGTGGAGGGGTTTTGAATGGACAGCTCTGCTCCTGTCCGCTCTGCTCTCCAGTCAATAGCAGCCAGCAGGTGAGTCTCTGGTTCTGTCTGCAGCGTGGCAGACACTTATTAGAGGTAATGTTCTCCCATCATCCATCTCCAGGTGGGCTTCCTCCATTGATCTCAATGCCTAGTCTTGTCACAAGCTGCTCCTCACGCAGTGAAAGCAGTGGTCGCCGCCAGCACCGGCCCGGCTTTATGTTCCGTCAATAGCCCCGTGGCTGGACATCCAGAATTAGCCCTGTGAGACGGCTTGCATGCAGCGCAGCATGTTTTTCACGCTGCTGTCCTAACTTTAGCCTGGACAAAAACAAAATGAATGGCCGAGTATCATAAGATACTCAAGGTGTGGTTTTCAGGTAGGTTTCAGGTCAAAGAAGTTAATTATGAGCAGTAAAGTGAGCATAAATCCCATTTCGATAAGAAAACATGGGGGAGTCAATCTCTGTCTCAATGTTTTGATTAATGAACATTAAGGAATAGCCCTAACCTATTGCACGTCATTTTTAAACAATCTTAACATCCATCCATTTTCTGAACCACTTATTCCCAAATGGGGTCGTGTCCATTGCAGGGCCAGTGTTTTTGTCACTCCCTGTATAGAAGATATTTAGACATTGTGTGCTTGCTTGTTGTTTCTGTTTTAGGTTTCTGCAGATATAAAATGGTCATGTCTTTTAATGGAAACTATTTAATGTTTGAGGCGGCTGCATATTGTTCTGTGTTGTCTAATCACGAGTTTTATTGGAACTCATTTCATACAAATTGTATCTAACATAAAACACACCTCGTACACTTCAGGAATGATGACTTCTAATGCTGATCATCTCACTGACTCATTGAACTGTTTATCTTATCCACATGTTTACAGCCCCTCATTTATTTATTTATTCCAAATACGATTAGACAAGTTTACAGAAGCTTGACTAAATGTTTCTGAGCCCTTGGTCAAATTGTTTCATGGGCTCAATCAATGCAGTTAAAAGTTTTCTCCCTGTGGACCTCATTGGGTGCCAAGAAAATGAAGCCATCTGTTGGGGTAGAGTTAGTGAATTGGCCAAGCAGCAAAAAGACAACATCATGCAAATGAGTTTAGTTTCATGGAGCTTTAACCGAGATGGCTCCTTATTGTTGAGATTAAATTTACTGATGCAGACTGTAGGCTACAGTTGTGATCAATAGAAATATCACTCCGAAATTAAGAGCAACAATCAATTCAGCTCTAACTTTTGTCACGTCTGGTGTCTCGTCATGTCTTGATTACCTATTGTGTACACCTGGGGTCCCCCTCCCTCTTGTGTTTAAATAGTCCTCGTTTCCCCTTGTCTTGTGCGAGTGCGTTTTCGTCCGTCTTTTCCATCGCCACCCCCACGCCAGGTTTGTTTTGCCATAGTTTTTTGCCACAGTCATAGTCACAGTTTTGCCATAGTTTTGTCATTTGTTACTTTGTCACAGTCATAGTTTTGCCACAGTCTTGTTTGCTTTGCTTTGATACTTTGCCCACAGTTTTCCACAGCTTTGATTTGTACTTTGTCTGGACATTCACTCATGAGTTTTTTGTTTCAATAAACCTTGTTTCCCCTCATCTCTGCAACTGAGTCCTCCCTCAAGAACCACCTCCCTGACAACTTTGTTATTATCTTTAAACTCAAACTGCTGTTACTGCACTTACTAAATAAACAGCAATACACACAAAATAATTGTCATATGTGCTTTTTCTATTCTGAGCCACCAAACTAATTGGAGAATCATAAATGAAAGGAAGCTGAACACAAGTCAGTCATTAGATATGACAAAAAGAATGAAAAATAAGTTTGAATACTCTTTATTAATGGATCTGCAATTCCATGTTTTAAAATATTTTCAGGTGGAGATTTTTGCTACCATCAACAATAATTTCATACGAACATACTTCTCTTTTCAAAAGAATAATGACATTACTTTTCATTTGATTTGATTTCACAATATGATAAAACTACATTCTCCTTTTAATACATTTTCACTTATTTCTTTGCAATTTTAGATATATTTGATGATATTTTAACAGACAACATTAACACCAATATGCATTCTTATTCTTTCTTTAAATCGAAGAAACAAATGGAAGAACCATTAAACAACAGCTGAGAAATATTATTGACTTTGACATGTTTCGAAACACATTTAACTAACACCAGAGGTAAAACATTATGTTACATCTGACAGAAAATATAGATAAAGTTTGTGTTACTTTAAGGCATATTGTTTTCCCTTTCACAATATTTTACATCACAACAGATTTCCACACATATCTATAAAAATACATCTATTGTTTCAGAACTGACATGCACACACATAACTCATAGACTTTATCTGCTCACAATCACTTAGATTGATAGACACACAACCCACCTTTCATCTGGACAACAAATATCCAAACATCTGTAACTCCAATGAAAACTGTTGCATCACAGTCCACCACAGATAAAATGAGACTTGTGAGATAGATTTTTTTAGTAATTTTCACAGAATTCACATTTAAGGAAAAGAAACATCATATAATTTTTTTATACGTATTTTAGTGTAATATATGTGATTATCAAAATTAGCACATTTTTATTTGATATATAAGCTCCATGCATCTTGTCTTGCAGTTGGCAAATTGCACATAAACCCTCACTTCACTTGTAAATGCATTATTGCATATAGAACCTATTCTGAAACAGGACATTACCATCCTTAGTTCACGTCTAATCTCTGTATTTTTAAAATGATATACAGTACGTACATATGAACACAGAGGAATGCCTCCCTCACCAAAGGTCCGTATAACATTTTACACTTAATGTTGTGATATATATGCATCCAACAAAAGGAAGTCAAATCTGCCACTAAAACCACATCACATCCCTCACATAGGTTAAAATCCATCCACGTCCACGTTGACAGAATATGTTTTTCAATATAGATATTTTGATAAAGTGCCTCATCAGACAGACTTCACAAAGCACAACCTCTTTGGAAACCTCACAGTGTCAATACTATTAAATAAATTGCTGGAAAAATATAAACTAGAACATCTATATGGATCTCACAGTGTTGACAAAATGGCACAAAGAATTAGGTTGGCTGAGTCACATTTACAGGTAGTTACAGTTACTATATGTATATAATGTAAATTTTCTTTCATTCTACACACACATATATATATATATATATACACACTCAGTGATCACTCAGTTGAATCGCTATCTGACGGAGGAATTAATCCTCAGATCAGTGCTTCAAAGAGGACATGGCTTCAGTTTCCTAAAGGCAGCAGACCAGTTAACATCAGTCTACCAGGATCAATGCTGGACCCAGAATCATACTGCTGTCCACACAAAACAAAACCTATTTTCCTGTTTTGTCTCATATCTTTTCATATTTAAATACTACATACAGATACACATTAACTTTAAGGCTTTGTATTTTGTTGTTAAGGTAATACTATTGCACGAACAACACATGAAGGCATCTTTACTGATTCTAAATCTACGACAATATCGAGTGGAGTAGCTGAGTTAGCATGGCTTATTTCCCTGATTTGAGAGGCTGGCTGGCTCCCTGCCTGCTCTCAGTCGGTTTGGTAGCAGCAGTGCTGCTTCTATTGCACAAGTCCCTGATTTCAAGCAGGCCCTCGTTCAAGGCTTTCGCGAAAACCGCAGAGCTCGTCTCTGTGTTTTCCCAAAAACTTGACACACAGAAGACGATGTGGTCTGACTGTGGGTTGTAGCAGGCCCCGTAGCCGTTGGGTACCACTGGCCCATAGCAGCAGAACATTTCCACTGTAGTAGGGACCTAGAGACAAAGCAACATGGGCTTGTTAGAGCAGAACAGCTGCTTGGAATTTGAGTAAAAAGATCTGATTAATTTTAATACTGTTTCAGGAGACGTGCTCTTGTAGCAGTCTTAGTTTTGTAAATGTGACGTGTCAATTGTGGGGAATTATGATTGTGATTGAATATTTGTGTATTAGTTTTAGCTGCAAATAATTTTGAAAAAACCCCCCATTTTATTCCTCATTCAACAACAAATTACAAACAATGTATCATTAACACAAAGTCAAAAACTGTAAGTCAGAGGCTCTATCACAGAACAGTGTGGCAAGCCCATTTCATTAAACTTTTAAATGTAACTGCTGGGCAAGGAAATACAAAAATTAATTAGTTTAAGTGTGTTTAAGTGCTGTCAAGGAAAGGGCAGATTATACAGGCCCAGGCTAAATTTATTGCTGAGGCAGTCGATTCTGGAAAGTCTCAAATTAAAAAGACAGTGGCAGCAAACATTGAGCCCTAAATCCCAAACACAAGCAGAAACCAAATCATTTTAATTGGCTGTGTGCATTTTTCTTTACTATTTCTTTTTTGGTGTTACACTTCCCTCTTTAAAATGACTCCCTGTTCAAACAGTAGCGGCTAAAGTTGGTGAGTTTCCGTCTTTTTGTTTCTATGTTGACTGATCTGCTTCATCCATGACATTACTGTGAATACATCGCTAAGTAACTCGAGGGTACCTGGCTGGTTGATAGGATGAACTGGTTACTGAAGACATATGTCTCATCACAAAAAATGTCTGGCTTCTCCATTTTGAGCTCCTTTGAAATCCTCAAAAGCCCAAGCAGGTGATTGTCAATCGCCCCTCCTGTTATAGCCTGAAGAACAAACTTCAAGTTAGCAGGAATAGATATTCTGTCAGTTTGGAAAAATATCTAAAAAGAATAACAAATCACTGATCAGTACCACTAAAACTTATCAACTGGTATGCTATATTGGATCTTACAACAATTGTTGTTTCAAACCAGGTGTTACAATGTGTTACTGTCAAGGTGAAGGGTCTGATCAGCTTTGTAATGTCAGTGAGTCCATTTTAGTTAGTCAGTGCCAAAAACTACACATTTAAAGTCTTTACATATTATTTTTAGAACATTAATATATCTATAGAAATTATTAGAAATACTTACTGCAACTGTGTAATTAGTCTGGGCATCAATTGCATCTCTCAGTCGTTTCATTTTCTCTGAATCCTGTTGGAGATGTACATGAATAATAAAAAGAGAGAGCAAAGGTAGTGAATATATAGTGACAGTGTTACAGCTTTACATTCCACACAGATCTATTGAATCTGCAGGGAGATAATCTGTTTGAATTTAGAGACAAGGTTTGGCCGGCCAGGCTTGCCGGTCGCACCTGTTTCATTTAGAGTGAAGCAGTAATGTGAAAGGTTAGTAATTAGGGGAAAGTGAGAAAAATGACTCACGCTGAAAGTTTCTCTCTCATCTGCCATGGACTTTGCAAAGGCCAATGCCTCGACAGTGGCTGAGCGAATGTTATCCACTCGTCCTTCCCGGAAGCGGCGTATTGACGCACTCTCATAAGTGGACACAAGTCTCCCTCTGCATCTGAGACACAATTTGAATGATGCATTAATGGCACGCCATTGCAGTCAAATAGATATTTGATCCTAATAAATGCTGTTCAGACAACTTACTTGTAAAATGCAAGCTGTAATGCGACTTGTATAAATGCGTCGGGGCTCATCTTCTGTTTTTTGATGAACTCTTTCCCATAAGCTGCAAATTTGAAAACGTCCATGTCAAGATTATTCACCAGTCTGAAGAAGAAAATATAAATATCACGTAAGAGATTTATCTTATGTAGTTCTTAGTGTACATAGTAGTAAATTTATTTGCGTTGGTCTTGCCTATGGAGCCTGTCTCCAGATGCTTCTATAAGTCCTTGGATGTAGGAGTTACATTTCCAGAGCAGTTTTCTTGGAGGAGGAAGCTCTCTGATGGACTTATATGTCTTAGAGGGACTTCCTGTTCTGTTCACAGTAACAAGACTTTTGTTTCCCAGAGGCATTCATAAAGGTGAAAGTGTATTTTTGCCGTAATGGGCAAACTTACATGTATTTCATCAGGTATTCAGAACACTGCACCAAAACTATTCCCTCAAATGGCGAATGCTCACACACCACCCCACAAATCCCATCCATTCCTACAACAAACTGGAAGAAAGACAGTGGATAAGAAAATTGCCCAAACTTTACATCCATTCATGGGTGGCTGAAGAGCCAGGAATTAGACCATACCTGCATTGACTTGTCGTACCAGCGGTTTGCACCGTTCCTCTCACGCCCTCCCCCGTGTAGCATCATCAGGGACCTGTTCGTGTCACTTGGCTGCAAGCCGCAGGGTTCATCCAGGCACACCACGCAAACACAACTCTCAATGAGGGCCAAAGAGTCCCGGTTGGTTGATTCTTTGATAGAAAAAAGACAGAAGAAGATTACCTTCTCTCAAACCTTCTGACCAATAAACCATAAAATAAGATTGATCTGCAGGTTTTGCTGAGAGACCTTTAGCCAATGCCTCTCGAGCTTGAGCCCACTCTGTTCTCCCATCCGACGTCAGAATTCCAAAAGGAGGGAATCTGTCTTTAGGGTTTTCTGACATTTTCATGATTTTCTCGAGTTGGTGGAAGATCTCCATCTCAGTCAGCTGCTTACTGTTTATGGTTATATCCAACACGTAGAACTAGTGAGAAAAAGAAAGGTTTCAGTGGCATATAACCTTTGTAAGTTGGATATGCTGAATTGTGACGGCTTGTGCTGTGCGGTGTTATATTTGAATAGCTATCGTGATAAAATCATATCTGTAATGGCAAGGACCAAAACATTTCCTATAGGCCAGCATTATGGATTCTCCTCTGCCTCTAAACATGTGTGTCAAGGAAGGTCTCAGACAGAGTTGCCCATTTAATCATCAGTAATGAAGTTAACTCTTTTAATCTCCATGCGGATGGAACCACAAGTGCAACAGAACGATCGCTCCCTGCGCCGTTTCCAGATGGGAGCTCCTGCAGATGTTGGTGATGTAGATTGAATGCATTTGTCTGGATGATGAAAATCAGTCAGGATTTATGCACTTTGAGGGAAATGAGATGTAAATGGGTACTGACAGTAAACGTCAGTGAGATTTGTTCTGTACTTTGAAGTAAGGTGCAGGTGCAATCTTAGAAAAATAAACCTACTTGAGTGAGGATATTAAAATGAGACTGAAAACCTTAAAAACTTGGTTTGCCTGTGATACCAGAGAAGTGAATCTTGGAGGATATGGTTAATGCACGTGGTCACCAGTTACATCGTATTCTGGTTATAGCAAAGTTTTAGCTCTAGTTGAAATTCACAAAGCAGCTGTGACAGTAAGGTTCAAAATGTGGGAGGTGATAGCTAAATCTTTCATAGCTTCTGTTGTAACAGCAACACTTTGCGGTGTCTTAACAGGAAATAAGATAAAAAAATGTCCATTAAACATTTTGTTAGGATATTTCCTGGCTGGCATTCCCAGTAAGCATGTCCATCACAGATATTCTGGACCATTTGAATATTCAAATTCAAACATCTCTAGATAACAGCATCCCAAGCAGGTCAATGAAGGCACAGTGTTTTGGCCTTCAAATTATGACCTGCTGGTGGATCTCTTAGCATTCCAGGAAGCAGAATTCTAAAGTAGATCACGCTGTCAAACAATTGATCACCGACAGTTCTAAAAACATTTGCATTGCTTAGTCTGCCCCAAAAAGAAAATTGACCTGACATATTTTTAGAATATTAATAAAATGTACTACCTTTCAGCGTCATTGTATAAACTAAAATATATTTTCATGGCCTCTCAGTTTCTCTGGACTTGTTACAGGCATGATGGTGTGTGAAAGTCTCGTCAAAAACTATCATCCTGACCTGGTTTTTACACGCCACAACTATGTGCTCTGGCTCTGAGTTGGCTGCATCCTTTTGGACCTTAAGTACGTCTGCCTTTAAACCCGGGTAGCGGTAGGAAGTGAAGAGGCGGTAGTACTGCTCCATGCACAGAGGAGTCCCCGCTAGCTGGCCTCGAGCAAAATCCCCCGGCAGTGCTCGCCTAAGACAGCATTACACACATCTTATTACCTCTGACTCTTTTTTCGAGTTCTAAATCGAACTCACGGTGCTTGCAGGATGATAGATAATCCATTTAAGAATGAACTTACTTATCAATGAGATCCTTATACTCCAACACACCTCTGATGAGACGAGCAGCAAATCTTAAAACAGTGAGAAAGATGACATTTTTTTTAAAAGACAGAGCAGAGTTTGCTGTGAGACACTGAACATACACAGTGGACTGCCCGGTGACCGTAATTAGATGTACTCCCATCCATCAAAAGAATAACGGTAATCAAATCATGGCGAATTACGCGGATGGCGTGCGCAAGCTGTGAGTGTGTGTGTTTGTGAGAGAGAAACAGCCTGTGTGTGTGAGTGGGCAGTGTGGGCAAATAGGGAAAAACACAGCGCCCTGTCAGGTCTTATGTTGTATGTCATTTGTCCAGGCGTTATTACGTCCAAAGCCAGATCAATACAAAGGAGACAGCCACAGTACACCGCGCCCACAAATGAGGCTTGACTAGCAGTCTCTGTGGAGAGTTTGGCCTTGTCACTCCCAATCTAATAAGTGGTCATGTCGGTAGATTACCAGCTGCTTTGGCTGCTCTGGAAATATTCAGTTAGTGCGGCACGAGCTGACAAAAGCTAATGCCGAGTCACAGAGTTGGATGGACCAGAGTAATGTCTGGTGGCTCATTTAATGATGGGCATGACTGTAATTCAGATAGTAATCTGAGCCTCTGCCTACTAAGAAGAGCAAAAACCTGTCAGCAGATGATATTTATTAACTGATATTGTGTGTTTTCCCTCAATCACCGCTTCAACAGAATTCCTCCCGCTCTTTTGTGGTCACTTAATTTGTTAGATGTCTGTATTGTATGTTTTAGATTGCGATGAAACTGTTTTTAATCTAATTTCCACAGGCTACTTCTGCATCTCTATAAAGTATAAAGGAGCTTGTTTATTTTTGGTCTTTGGCCAAACTAGAGTTGAAGTTTGACAAAATGATCTGTTTGTTTTAAGAAATCTCTTTATAATCAATTTATCATTTTGAGGACAAAAAATGTATTAATTAAGAAGCTAGACAACAGACTGATGTCATAATTAGAAAAAAAACCTTCTTTCCAAATTAGTTAGATTGCTTCCAGAAGAAAAAGAATCTGAGTTACCTCGAAAATATATTGAGTCTATGTATTCGTTTTTCTTGTATTTTTTTCTGCAGGTGGTATCACTTGTGAAGATTTAAACAAGCAGTTATACGTTTTTTCTGTGGTTTTCATATGATATGTCGTTTTTCATATTCTTTTTTACAGCCAATCATATGGGATAAGCGTCTTCCATGATTCTGCTGCAATACCCGGCATAGCTTTTTGAGGACTCTGGTGCTTCACACCAACAGACTGGAAGAGTAACTTAACTCATATAATGTTTTACAGTTTGAACGACACCAAAACCAAGTCCAGCACATACCTGAGGGCTTCTTTTTGATCCCTGAAAGACTGCTTTGGAAACACCATGGCTGGGCTCGAGTTGACAGGCAGTGCCAGCCTGTTGGCCAGGTACATGTCCTCCAGCCAGTAGTCATAGACCTAAACGGGAACACACTTTGTGAGAAATGTACATTTCTTACGTTTTTTCATTACCATCAGTGGTGGAAAAGTCAAGAAAGATGTGTTTATCTTTTTTTTTCTCCAATGTACACTCTTTCAGGTGAAAAAAGAGGTAGGAGGTAAGCAGTGCGAGTGGGAGTGTGATGGACTCCACTGAACAGGATGAGCTTTGGACTGAGCGATCACCCAGAAACTGCAGGGCAGATTGGAGCGGTTCGGACTCAATAAATCTTCGTAGTCAAGTGTCACACTTTTTTCATGATAACTCTTAAGGTATTACTTCTTTTTTTCCATTATTTTCTTTTTTAATAAAGTCCTGCAGATATGTTTATCTGTTTCCTCCGTGAGATTACCCAGTTAGTAGTCTTCTCGCTCCGCTCTACAAGCTTCTTCTGCAGAGCCTCTCCAACACCTCCCGGAGCCCCAAATTTCTCCACGATGGCCTTAGTCTTCTTAAACTGCTCATCCTTCACCAGGTGCTGGATGCACTTTAAATAGGTCTCCAGGGTTTGTTTTAGTGGTGGTACAGGGACCTTTGGCAGCTCCTGATTTAAAAACAACAAACCAGGATTAATATTCAGAAGGATCAGTGGAAGGACAACAGCTGCTCGTCATTTCTATGTATTTCCCCTGAATTGGCTATAATTAACAAAAGGAATAATTCCTTCACATGTTTTTTTTTTCTTTTAGTCCTTTCTCATGAGAGCCCAAGTTAATAATTCATCTTGATTGCTTCAAGGCCTATTTGAAAATAAGTTCCACCTCCTTATGGATATTGTTGGGAAATGCAAATGTATTATCTTTTCTGTCTGATGTAGGATGGTTTGCATAATGAACGCTGTTGATAAGCCAAGATGTTAATATTGATAGGTTTGATGCAGTTGGAGAAGCAGTTGCAGCTGTTGGTTTGTCAAACTTTTCAAATAGTGTTTCTAAAACAGTGTGATTGCATAATCAGGGTGGATTCAATAACTGAAGAAAGGAATGGACACCATGACGATGTCTACAATGTTAAAAATAGACAGGTCTGCCACCCAGTCCCCTAGCGGTGGGTTATGAGAGTGGAGCTGGAGCTGTCCGCAGTGCTGAAATCAAGACTTTCTCAACTTCAGTTCCACGAACAGACAGACACATGCCGAGTTAAGCAATTCACACTTTAAACGCGTTAAAGCAACATGCTTTCATACTTGACTGCCTTGGACTCTTGCCGTGTTTCTCTCCAAGATTGGCATCTTTGCAGTCTAGTGCGCTGAAGGGGTAAAAGTGCGGGAACCCTCTACAGACGGTCTGAGTTCAGCCGTTCCTGCTATAAAGTATTGCGAGGCATTTAGAAGAGGACAGCAAAGGAAAAGAAATGCAGTAAATACAATTAGTCCGACTGAGACATGCAGCTACTCTCTTAAAGTGAGTCTCAGTACGCATCCATTCTTATTATTTCAGCCTAATGAAATTAGCTCCTTGTCCTTGAATTGCAGCGGAGACCCATAACTCTCATGAACGACACATGTCTTAAAAGCTCACTTTATATCAAGCATACGTTTTTTTTAAATAAAGTGACGTTTCTTTCTTATGATGATAAAAAGTTCCCTTATTCGTTTTGTAACTTAATTTCAATTGTTAACAAAGCATTTTGTCTTGACAAAAACCCTTTATATGACAATTGAGATGATTGTTTTTTTATTAGATGCAGGTCTTTTGAAAGAAAAGTAGATAAAGCTCGTTTTAAATATGTATCATATTTCTCCATCAACGGTTAATAAGCTCACAGACTGGATGAGAACTTTTCAAATCTAGACATGATCTAATTTGTTACTTTTTGAGAATAAAAAAACTCACCTGATGGATGCAGAACTTTAGGGGTAAGATGCTGTTGTTGCTCTCCACGTCCACGCAGTGAAGCCCCATATCAGAGTGAGGCTCTGTTCTGGGGCTGGACCGGTCCCGGGTCCTCACGCCTTTGCCATAAGGCTCCACTTCTACACTCAAGTGAAGGTGTTTGCGTTTACCTACTCCCTGGAGGCAAGAAACTCCTCCCATCGAAATCCATTCGCCGGAACATATTATCTGACAGCTTCCCCCCTCCCACCCCCCTCCAAAAGTCATTTTGATATATCAGAAAAAGGGGTCGAGCGCGGCTTTTTCGTCGTCATTCGGGGCCCTTTGGGTCGAGAGAGATGAGACACGAGGTGCTTTGACTATTTAAGTTTCCACAAAGTGTTTTTAATCAGGTTGTGGACAACAGGAGATGCTCCTGCGTGAGTAATGCATTTTTACCCCCCTCTGCTTTCAGCTATCTTTGCTTACTTTTTTGGTGGTAAGGAGATGATCATGTGATTATTTTTTTTACAATTGCAAGACGTGAAAGCCCCATGCAAACTAAAAGTACAAATCAGACTTATATCTATTATTGTTTTTTATCGCCTGCATGCACAGACATATACACTTTATTTTCTAAAAGATGTTGTCATAAACTTCAGAACTTGAATCTTTTCATTTCCCAAACGAAATGATTTCCATTCTGCATTTCCCCCTGATTTCTTCGGAATGAAAACAACGTCACGAATGTCACACTGAGGCAAATCAATTTATTAAAACCACCACTGTTGAATACACTTTTGTTCAGCTCAAGGAGACAGAGTTCATTGGCAACGTCATGACAAAATGTCCCCCCGATTCCGACACACACACACACGCACACACACACACACACAGGCGCGCTCGGGCACACACATTTCTACAGAGATCCACGTAAACAATTTACTTTGTGCTATATCCACATATGTACAAATACATTAAATATGTATAATACAGTCACTTTTAAATAACAAAAATAATGAGAACAGACACCCACAATTAAAAAAATAAAATAGATTTAAATTCATTATATTTCTGTCAACTTGTTATATGTGAAAGAACAGAGGCCTTTGATGTGCAAGTTTAAAACAAGTGTGTCCTCAGAGACTAAAAGGCTATTTTTCATACGGGGGTAATGTGCTGCTTATTGTTGGTCCCACATAATCTTGTACGCACATATATCTATCTAGCCTATATATTATTATAACACTCAGTAATACACACATAAATTCAACAGTTGCTTATAAATCTCGCACAAAAAAACTCCAGTTATACGTTCATGACAAACGCCACAAATTGTTGTTCGACACAGTGAATAAAAAACAAAAACAAAACTCAACTTTGGGAAACGGGTCACACAACCTCGATTTTGGTGACTGGACCGTTATATTGCACATCAGCACTTACATAAAAAGTTGAAACAGTATAATATTTGATTTTCTCGTCCAGTCTATAAAACTTGACTGCGTATTGTTTCAAATGGCAGTTAGACCCGTTCTAAGTGAACTCCGGACCGGATGATTCCTCTGACACGGACCGCTGTGCTTTGAAGGGATCGAACCCGTTTTCATCTACTGGCAGGCAATTCCCTGCCGAGCTGTAGCCCTTTTTACCTCTCCTCTCCTCCATCTTAATCGTGTCGTACAGCCCTTGTGGTGCTTCGTCTAACAGGTTATCTCTCTCTGAGAAGGACGGTTTCATTTGGCACACGTTGCGCAGCAGCAGCAGGGCTGGTGCGTAAAGCACATTGACGAGACCCATACCGAGATTGAGTTGCACAAAACCGAGAGTGTGAACGATCTGGCCGGCAACTATGGGACCCATAGCGTACGCGACAGAGTAGGATATATCTGCTATGGCATAAACGCTGCCGTACACGGAAACGTGACGCACATCAACTAAAAAGGCGAGTGTAGGCAGCAGGGCGGTGTCTACGAGAGCGATCCCGAAACAAATGCCACACAACGGGGCGATGAGCTGGCCGAAAGTTTTGCATGCAGGAACTGTGCAAGAGCTGGCGCCTATTATAACCATACCCAACGCTCCGTAGAACCATTGCAAATGTGGATTTTGCGCGGCCAATTTAACTGTTATGTACACACCGAGGACATGAGGGAAGAAAGCCGGGAGCCAGGTGATTCCCATCTCCCACTGGGAGGAGTGCATGGTGCTTTCCATCCAGTTCGCTATGGTAGGCTCTAGAAAGGCAAGAGGGATGTTGGCCACTGTCAGAGCCCCGGCCACCACAGCTATGTAGGGGTCAATCATGAGTTTGTATATCGGGGTGCCGACCGGCATGTTCTCTCTAGTCCTGTTGGAGAACGGCTTGATCACGGCCAGCACCAGGAAGCCGTCTGCCAGGCAAATGCAGGCGAGCACGATGAAGGGGACTCTCTTGCCCGCAAACTCGTAGAGGAAACCCCCAAACGGAGGCGCCACCAAACTCCCGAAAGAGATAAACGCCAGGGCGATGCCGAGCGCCCGGCTCCTCTCAGTCTCCTCCGTGTACTTATCAGCTATCATCGCGATCCCAGACGTGTCCGCGAAAGCAGAGCCCAGCCCCTGCAAACTTCTGGCCGCGAAGAGGGTCGCATAGTTCTCCCCAAACGCGAATATGCAGGTGGATAAGAACATAACAGTTAGTCCAATTAGAAGAGGGATATCGTATCCGACTCGGTCAATGAAAGTTCCGGTCAGTGGGTTCACTAGGAGCTGGAGAATGGCTTTGGAGGCAAATAGTACTCCTATCTGGAAATCTAAATTGTCCTTGTTGCTTTTGTCTTGGTTTGTGCTGTTTGCTGAACTGTTGGGGTGTATCACTACGTGGACGTGCTCTGACTGCTCACTCTCCAGATCGGCCAGATAGTCTGGGATAATTGGCACGATGACCATGTAGAGCATGTTGTCCAGCAGGAGAGCCACGCAAACAATCACCAATATGATCCGTCTTTGCTGGTGGGGATCCTTCATGGCGGTGCCGAGCTTCTTGGTTCTTTCACCCATCTCGGTTAGTTTGGTCACGGCTGATTTGGCCAGTCCGGACGACCCTCCTTCTCCATCCATGGTGTGCTTTTTCTTTAAATGATTTTCAATTCAAAGTTGTGCTTTTTTTTCTCGTCTACTGCCGGTCTTTCAACACCTCGGATGACTCATTGGTGTTGTCTCTACATCGATGTAACGCTCTCCGTCCTCACCTCGCCAGTGCGTAAAGGAAGACGCGCAGAAGAACTTGTCTGCTTCATCGGAGAAGATGTCTTTTCTTCAGCTTCTTAAATTTGTCGTGGACTCATCCGCGTCCGATGCTGTATCATGATCCTCTGAGAAGTGACGTGGGGGAAAGCGTCGAATTTCTGCACCTTGCAGAAGTTTTTTCCCGTCACTGTCCTTACATGGCAAAAGGTTTTGTTTTGCGAATATTTCACTTCACTTCTTAGCGATGCGCGTTCTGGCAGGCTCCAGTTCTCGTGTCCCCGCGTGCATGGTCTCGCTCACCTGTGGCGGTCCCCGGCTCTGCTCTGAGACCACGGGGGGACTTTGTGGCCATTGGTGCACATTAACCCGTAAGTTCAGCGCTATTTTTGGTCCCTTTTATTTTTTGTCTCCCCCTTTTCATTCAGAGCTGTGACGCACCACCCGTTTGCCCCCGAGTGAATCCTTTCACCACTTGCTTCTTTTATGCTAATTTCCAACCGTAGCAGCAATCAGTTCGACCAATAAGAACATGCGAACACAACAAGAGCGAGAAAAGGAGACGGAGGGTCCCTTGTGTCCAGAAAAAAGTAACCCATATATTATCATTAGCGTTAGACGATAGATAGATATATAGATAGATAGATAGATAGATAGATAGATAGATAGATAGATAGATA